AATTTTACGTACTGAATCCATCCTCAGCAAAACACATGCTTAGTATTTGATTTTGTTCAATGAGACCATTATTGACTGTTCGTCTGCAAACTTTCTGATTTTAACAGAATTCACGAATGTCAAAATGATAACTACGATAATAAGAAGGAATCTAGTAACAAACCTACATTTGATTTTCTCCTGTACATCCATGACGCCAAGATGCAGATGATGCTTAGAATGACCAGCAAAACGACCGTTGGAATTACAATGTGCGGGTACCATCCAGATTTTCCAGATAGATTTGCTAAGATTTCTTTCTGTTGGATAAATGCGATAGTTTGCATAATATAGACATAAGAGTTGCCTTGCTACTTAAAGAATATGGAGGTATGAACATGTTAATTGCATTTGCTGACCTCTGTTACATAATCTAAACATTTCTGGAGGAACTTGGTTCGACAGATGGCTGAGAAATTATTATGTTGATGGTGATTTTAGCTGACAAGCAGACAAACTATCTCTGAACAGATTTACAATCTAATTGAAAGTATGCAATTTTCTTTAGGCAGTATATATACTCTTTATTGTGAAAATCAGTGCGCACTGATTTACACGTCACCGTGTTACATAATCACAATCTAAATGTTAACCTAAATATGACCCATGGTCGTTTTGAATAAATCCAATCAACATATAGATGTAACAGATTGCAAAGTTTTGAGCTTTCAGTGCTGGAGTCTTTGACCTCAAGCTGATGGTCGATACGTGATTCATACTAAATTCATACATGGTGATGATCACATAAAGTTGAATGATAAAATCATTATCTTTGAAGCATGCATTTCGAACAACACTTCAACTCAGTGCCTGATGATTTCTTGTACATCGATATACTCATATCTGCTAGGATATTGTCAACATACAAATTATTTATTACAATACTATGGAGTGAATATCGGTCAGTACTAATTCATGGTCATAATTTACTGACTTGCAAGAAAAATGCTTTAATTATGTAGAATATATCATTTTCGAAAATACTCAGAGTAGACAAATCGGTACTCACGTCACTATGGCAAACATTCTCTTTCCAGATTGCAGCATATCTGTCGTAACCATTGGTACATCTTTCAACATTTGGACACCAGTAGCATGTGAAATTGGAGGTTGTTGCATTTATGCATGATTCAGGCGACTGCTGTATCGAACAAAATTCTGTGAAAACGATGAAATGAATACAATTGTGATTAGGCAGCAATAATTCAATTCATGTTGTTTGAATTATTGCCAATATTACTCAGAGACGTTTCACGTCTTAGATGCTATGTAGAACAGCCACTGAACCTTCCACGTCTTTACTCTCACAGCCAGTAATAACCTGATTGGAATTTGCGACATTCCGCCCATCACTTCTAAACCGGACTGTTCAATTAGAATTTGAAGCAATTTGCGTTCGAGAAAGAACGAAAATGGATCAGGTAATGATGCATATCAATCTAATATACACTGGAAATGTACATGCATGCAAATGTATAAACGTTGTCCTACATAAAGTTATTGGGTTAAGTCTATTTTATCGATCACAAAAGAAATCACACATGTAAAAAAATGTTTAATGAACGTGCACTACTGATTACGGTAATGTTAACGTACGTGTCGTTGGTTGAAACTCAATTAACGTTCTAGAAGTAATCCATGATGATGGAGTATATATAAAACTGTATTCAATAAGATCTGCAAAGCAATTACCTAATGAAACAATAGAGAATTTGTGATCGGAGTAATAATATAACAAACAGAATTATTGCAATAAATGACGTTAATTCGAAGGTAAAATAACTGCGCATATATTCACGGAGAGTAGGCCCAGTGCTACATTTTACACAAACGATATTTAAATTGATCGAACACATTTGTGAATTTTCTCAGATTCAATCCTACAATCAAGATACTACCTATAAACTTCTATTTATTGCTCGTCTGATACTAAGCTTGATAATGTCGTTGGAGAATGAGAAATGAACACCTTTTATACAAAAAAATCCGTCTCGCAAATCAGTCACATGGCATCCGCAAAATGTCTGTTTAAGAATTTTTCTTCCAGACATTTTGAATTCTGGTCATATTATCACATTTCTTCAAAACTGGGAACACCACATTCGACACGTTGAGAACCCCATGATTCCATTCGACTGATTCGTAATCTGATGTCACAATTGATGATATATATTCAGTCAGTATGAATATGTAATTTGCATCGGCGATCCACAATACATTCATGTTACACAAGTGCAAACAAGATAAATCATTCATTCATTAGTTTGCTCGATATTCCAAAGACCAACTTTATTTCACACCAGAAAGGCCAGCGAAATGCAGATATTTCATTCAAACAATGACAAAATATTCTAATTTGTTCATCTTTGAGGCTATTGTCTATGGTGTTACTTTATCAAATCATTTTGTGTGTTCTTAACATAAGTACAACTTTCCATTACGTGTTTCTTACTGTTTTTTAGTTTATACCAATATGAATCTGACATTCTTGCTCCTTCTGTATGTTCCCAAACTCCAGAACGTATCTGAAAGAAAATATCGAAGTTTGCAATGAGATCTGCTGCCAGTCAACCGCAATTATAAAAAGCAAGTATTTATTGAAATTATCTTTGTTCAGCCAGGTGACCACAGTGATATTCAAACAGGCATCACGGTATTCATATTTGCAACCAGAGTATACTTTTGCTAAATTTTCGTCAGCAATTCATTCTAATATTGTCTCCAGGTTAAGCGAAATTTCCTGTTCAATCTACTGTTGACAGTATTGGTTAAAGAACTGTCTGCTTATTATCTACGTGCTTCGAAGTAAAACGTATTTTCGTACCAATTGGGACTGTGTCTAAAACAAACATGTTACCCTTTCCGCGGTACAATTTTTCTCAGTCTTCTAACTTTCACCGTATTTATTACGATGTGAATGTTCGCAAAGGGAAGCATTCCAATCTGGTTTACACTCATATCACATTTGTATAATTTCGTCAAATTGTCATAACAGCTGTGCTTTGACAAACAGTGTTCGATAGGTCGAGAAAAATTGTTTATGAACGATACTTCAGTACACGGTATTTGTTTTCGAATGAAAATACAACAGCGTCACTTCTCTCGTGATGCGCAGTCTACTTCACTCATCAATTCTCTGTCATCCATAAATGTGAAACTGTTCAGGCGATATCATCTATTTCTCAGTATTCATATTACTTGTGCTACACGCGTAACCAATGCATAATATCTCATAACCTCTTCCTAACATTCAAAAAGTGCTTCTTATACTTCGACAGTAATGAGTGATGTGGGAGAACGAGCCTAACCAAGGCAACCGATGTAAGAGTTCTATAAATTATTACACAGCTTACGTTTTCATAGTAAACTGAAATCTTTCCATCCGGATGTAACAAAATCTGAACTTCAGAAATACCTACAATGGTAAAAAGAACGTTTCTCGAATGTCAATCACACTGAAAAATTTTCTTCAGAATGTTGCATTGCACGCATGCTCATTTACTGACATTTTTGTATCACATTGTCACAGTGTACGTTTTAATATACTCCATCAGCTGAAATGTTTTATTATAAGTGTAAAAGCTATCAAGGTCAGAAATGAACAGCCATAGTGAGTTTTAGATCTTGTTCTCCATGTAGAAAACTATGGACCTACATAGGTTTGGACGTTACAGAACGTTTGAACACCTGCACTCACATCGACGAACAACCATATCAACAACCATTCAGTTTATCTATCATTGGAAGTTTTAGAGATAAGCAAAGGTTCATGAACCTCATTGAAAAGAGAAATTAATAATTCTAGATAGACAATAAGAAAATGATTTTCAGTGAAAGCGAAAATACATTTCTTCCAGCATGACTAGCTATGAGTCATGCCTCGATAACATCAAATACTTTACCTTGACTTGTTGTGTATGCTGATGATGCTGTTCGAAAACCACACTCTGCAGCTCATTGCAATTAATGAAGTTTAATTAATGAATTTAATGAAGTTCGTTTAACACTTATGAAACGTAGGTGACGTTTGTTTATCATAACCAATTCATAAATCCATGTCCATATGGTCGAACAGACAGTTTCATTTATCAATAATTTTTACAACATATTCAAACACACACTTTCTCACCTTTATCAGTTTTTAAAAAAGTGAATTGAATCACAAAAAATTGAATATACAAACTGTCAGTAGTCATAGAGAGTGAACGTTTATATGTTTTATGATTTTTCATGCATTCAAATGACCATTTACGTTTACTTACTTTTGTTGTCATCATTAGCGTAAAAATACCATTTGACGGCGAAAACATCCTCTGCAATAAATACAGAAGATTGAAGTGTGTACAATTGTGCATAGTGTACGATTTTCCTGTCAAAAATACAACACAACGCAACATTCTTTCGTATTAGAACTACTCCTTCAACATTCCTAAATAGATATCAACGATTTTATTTCTGTGCATTATTCAATTTGTGTTCATTTGTTAGTCTCCATATTGATTACATTATTTTCTCGATAGTATAGAGTGTCATTAACACAAGAAACAAATATTTTTATTCCATCGTCTCTACTTTGAAAATAGGAATTAAAATGAGTGAAACATGTGTAATCATAGTAACTCAGATGAACTTACTGGTGCTCAAAAATTCTGTTTTTATTATTTTTCGGTAAACTGGAATCGGACTAATCACTCCTTCGCCAAGAAATAGTTCACCTGAGTTTAGATAGTGATAAGAAAGTTGATTAAGTGAAGTTCGAGTCATGCCTAGTATTTAAATAATATCATGATCAAATTTCAGTAATGGATTCCGACACTGGCGAATGTAACTTACCTCCTATTAAATTAAGGGAATCGTAATCCATACCATAGTATTTAATCGGGAACAGAGACTTCGGTACCTAATAAAAATATTCAAATGTCGTTCTAAGAATATGTAGGAAACTCACGGAGCCTTCAATCAGTTGAACGAAATTTCCTTCCACGACTGGAGGGGGTTGTTCACCACGGACGATCTGTAAATAATAATAATTATCCACCTGTGTGTGTTTATAAGTATCTATCTGATTAGTTACTTTTTTATATGACTCATTTTCAAAGATTGTCTTTGCGTATTCCTTAACTTCGAATTTACCAACGTCTGAGCACCTTTCTACGAACACACCTTCGAGACACTCAAAGATGTAAGGATGTATAACAGTCAACAAGCAAATCTGAATCAACAATTTAGATGCTACAGTGATCCTGAAATATTGACAAACAATATAACATTTTAATAGCAGTTCATCGAAACTGGAACTTGTTTTCTCAACTCATTCACATAAACGTTACTAGTCAATACTCACATCATTTTCCGGTTCAAATGAAAATAAACTACGTTAAAATTGTTTGTCAAGTTTAAATAAATTGAAAAATCAACGCATCTTTTTGATACGATGGTAAAAGTCATCCAATAGAAGTGTAAATTTTGATAAAATCATTTTCATATTATTGGTCAAACGTCATGATAGGTGTAAGCGTCTTTTATTCATAACATGCATGGATTATTTGATATTCTGAGTGCGTATATCATTGATCACCTGAAGTTGATCACGTTGTTCAGCAGTCGATATTCACTAAACAATAAAATACCCGTACTGAAATTCATTCTCATAGCTATTTCATGCTCATGATGTTAATGATCTCATAATATCACTTGGAATTTGCTTGTGTACAACTAGTTCTGACTAAGTGAAATCAACTGTGAGAATATAAACGTTGACAGTAATTTTATCTTTTTACTACACTTGGAAGCAAATCATAGCAAACAATTGTAGGCTAATCGATTACCGAATTCACTCCCAATGTTGTTAGATATTCTGCAGTTCATACGACTGCACATGAAGTTTATATGATTTTTGAACTAAAAGTTATTCAATAACTCAATGCATATAGACAGAGTGACCAAATGGCAAGTCGGAATTCATCTATGTTTGAGCTTATTTGCTAAAGATACGTTGATCAATTATCAATAATCTAGAATTATTTTTCCTGCCATATCATCAAGTCGTACGTAATCATGAAATATTATGAAACAAACTGACTCTGCCATTGTCTGAAGTTTTGTGCTCTTTAATTATGGAATTGGAATTTTTAAACAATATGAACTGGATCCAGTATCAGTAATCATTTGAGAGTGGTTGTAAATGGAGGTTTATTAAGTGCTACCAAATCTGAAGTATCTGGCGTAGTTAACTGTTAATAAATACTTTCATCTTGTGGATGATAGCTTTGGTAGTTCTCTTCAAGTTTTCATCATATAAAGTACAACTATCTTGACGTTTGTATTGAAAATCGGGACTGTGTTGTTGGTTTATAGTTGTTTTGAGTTGCAGTTATCGTTCGATTGTAGAAATGCAGTCTTTGCTTTGCTGATCCGCGCCTTCACATCTGTATCAGATCCAACATGTTCATCAATTGTTCGTCAATTAATAGGTGATTTTATAAGAACCCTGAATGTTCAGTCGTTTGTATTACTGAGTCTAATCATTAAATTGCTCTACCTACAGACTGTCTGCACTGATACTATCCCTTGTAAACTTTATTAATTTAAATAATATCAAAAGATCATCAAATAATAACCTGTCACATATGTAATCTAGGGGTAAATCTGACAGACCTATATCATTGCTTTCGTTGGTCTGTGCTCTCTGTTTCCTGACATAGAATATGCTGACAAAATGCAGAGACTTCTGAACACCCTAGACAACAATGCAAGCATGTTCGGTATGCGGGTTCTCACCTTCGAAATGCAAAATGTTGCTTAAAGATTGGATAAGATCGCCATTTGAGCTAGTGATAGGGAATGAAGTAGTCGAACGTGTAGACCGCCCCACTTATCGTGGGAGTCTCATCTGTTCTGATAGCTTTGTGACTGACAAAATCTCAGCTCGGATACAGAAGTCTCGATTGGCTTTTCCCAACCGGCGTCAACTATGGCACAGGTGAGATATCCGCTTGCTAACCAAAGGACGAGTGTACGGTGCAGTAGTTCACTCCGTCTCACTTTATGGCTGAGAAACATGGCCGTTAAGAATAGAGGACATTCGTAGGTTACCAGTTGTCGATCATCGTTGTCTCCGACGCATTGCTCATTGTTATTGGAGAAGCGAAGACATTTGGTTGATTATTACCTATATATAAATAATAATAATTTCACTGTGTTTTTAGGGTACATTTGTTTTACTTAACTTATGAACTTGTTTGATTTATTGTTTTCGGCCAATTCGAATTCCGTTTCTCTTGGTTTGGTTATTTGGAGTTTTTGCTACAGGAACCTATAAAATTGAAGGTATTTGTAGTTATTATAATTATTGTTGTTAGAACAACTATTTTGGTCGACTATTTGTGAAATAAAATAAACTTTGGTACCTACTTTGAAGTTGATTCTGCTGTTAATTTGGGTTCGTGAATTGCAAATAGATCGACATGTCGTACTTCAATAACGGGAAGGAGCAAAAACTGGACGTAAGAAAAGTTTAATAATTTTAATGCTGTTGTCATATATGGGATACATGTGGACATTTCAGGTCCAAAGTTCTTCAATTTTAATTTGTTGTCAGACATTGGATACTTCCGGATATTTTGAGTCAAACCTTTGGTCTTGTTGGATTAATTTGGATTAATTCACATTTGCTTAGTAACTCATTTTCGAACAACAGCATACAATGTAAACCAGAAGCAAAAAGCCGAAAGAAAATGACGAAATGGATTTTAAAGATTCTAAAGCTGTCTGTGGAATGTCTGATTTCAATGATGATAAACGTGACGATATTAGTGTTAATAATACGCCCTCAGCTCAGTTAAGTACTATATTTAGTACTAGATTGAGCTAAGAATAGTCATTACTAAAGAAGAAGAATTTTGAAAGGAGACTTGAGTTAGAAAGGCAGCCTAAATTGTTAGATCTGTAAGAGGATTTTGATTTGGCCGAATTAGAGTGAAAAGTTATAGAAAACGATAACCGACTGTCAGTAGACAAATCTGAGATAAATTCTAGGGTGGAAACGTACTATGATTGTGACATTGCGCGTAATAAGCATCCCGTGGAGGTATTTCACTGCTTACAATGCGATTGGATTGATGAATTAAAGGATACGTTACGTACTACGGTTAATAATACGGTTTTGCCTAAGATCGATATGATGTTATTTGACGGACAACCAAGCCAGTATCACCGTTTTATTAGTCAGTTTACAAGCATCAAGACGGAGTTAACTGTCTGACAAGTGCCAGTTGTTGTCATATTTGTCATAATATTGTAAAGGAAAGGCCAGAATTAATTAGGCGTGAACTAAGCAAATCATTCAAGGCTCTAAGTTGCGAATTTAGTTTTGGTGATCACAATCAGAAAGATTGTATGAAGTTATAAAAATGAATGTTACAGAAAGGGGACAGGAAGTGAGGAAGCGTGGTCTCTGTTACCTGTGTTTAATGAAGGGTCAAATAGAAAAGTTGTGCAACTCGGACATAAGGTGTGACGTTGATAATTGTTAGATTTGGCATAAATTCGTTATTACCTATTGATGCTACTAACAAACATGTGGTGAACTTTGCTATGGATTGAAAATTCTCAAAGGTTTGTTTGGGTATCATTCCGGTTAGACTATATGGCCTGAAGGGTGACTGGAAACATACGCCTACTTAGATAATGATTCAGGTACCTCTATTGTATGCGAAGAGTGAATCAGACGGTAAGGTCTCAAAAGTAAGAAGACTTCAATGTAGGTGACGACTGTGAATGGAACTTCTACTTGTGAATTTCTGGAAGTAAATTAAGAGGTAATTTCTTTAGATGAAACGGTTTCTATAAAGATCAACGAAGCCTATACGACCAAGAAACTTCCAATCCATTATGCAAAACCTTTAACCGAACTCCGGCTGAGAAGGTGGAAACATTTAAAAGACAAAATCCTACCGAGGTTGCAAAGTAATCTTGTAGGAATATTTTCTGTATAGCGTCTTCCTCTTGTAAAATTTGCCCTTAGTTACGAAAAACCTTGTTTGCTTACGGTGTGTGGAGATCAGCGAGAGATCGCCTGTAAGCGGAAAGAAGTAGCACTGTCCCGCTCCACGCCTCTAATTTTCTTTGAATTGATTATACGCCCTTTATTATCATGTCCGCCCGCGTGAACAGTTGCTTCAAATAAAGTAGTCCATAAAATCGTATCGAGCTTCGCACAAATAGATATCAGTTGTTTCTAAAAAACAGATATCAGATTAAGGCTACCAAATTAGTGAGCGCCTTGGCGACACAAAAATGGCTTGTACGACGTCGAACGTAATGCAAAATGCATGATCACTACAATAAAGAAGCTTTTTCATTTAACAATTTGGAAATGATATAAAAAAAACAAAATTTTTAGAACGCAACCGCACAAATAACGTTGTAGGATTCTAATAGTTAAGATTTTTGGGAATGAATAGCCTGAACATGAGGTTTCCTCTCATATTGATGATTGAAACGTTTAAGATGGTTATTAGACTCAAAGTGAACAAAATGTGACTGGTGCATATGTAACAAACGTAATTAGTTAGCGAATGAACCTGTTGAGTTGGCTGACCATATATCATTATCTTCTTAAAGTTGAAATCTAGCATATACCTGTTGTTGTCAATCACAAAGTATTTAAATCGAAATTACAGGTGCTGATTTCGGCTTGTCGGTACTGTAGTCTGTTTCATCTAGGTCTTCATTGCTGTTCTGTCTATACTGCTTATCAGCAGTCAATTTGTACTGGTTACAAAAATAGTACTACTGGTTGAACGATTGAATATACTGTGATAAAAATCTTCCTCATCATATATGAACATGAGAATTACGGAAAGATTGTTTTACAGGCAGTGCATTTGACAACACAAATCTTTGTGCATTAACTTTCTCTGCTCTTGTTCGGCTGACATTCACTGCTACCCTCCTGTTCCTTCTTTCTTCAATTTTTGCAAAAGTATCAACAGAGATCCATTCCTTATGATGGTACTTCTTGTGGCCCAGAACTTGGTGACATGTTGAAGTGATTGCCTCCTTAATCCTTTTACAATTCTTTCCAATGGTGTATTCTCCCCATTGAGGAGACCCTTAAAGGCCTTGAAGCTATTGGTGACGGCTATCCTGAATTCGCTGAGCTTTACAATATACCGAAGATTTTTGTGTGATATTGATTGCCTCATTATCCGTTGTTTCTTGAGATTCCGTTTTATTTTATCGATGATAATGTGGTGATCTAAGGCTATATCTAATCCTCTCTTGGTTCTCACATCCTCCATGGTCCTTCTGAACGTTTTGTTATTACAGAAATGGTTAATTAGTTTCTGAGAAATGTGGTCCGGTGTA